CCCTCACCATGTGTTGGGCTGTCTGTGAGTTCGGTGTCCCTTCCAGGCCCCCACCATTACTATAGAAGGGTTCCTTCAGGCACTGTCCCTGGCAGTGGACAGACAGTTTGAGGAGAGGAAGAAGCTTGCCACTTGCACCTGATCCTCAGGACCAGCTCCCCAGAAACGCTGTGCCCCCGGGACCTCTCTGAGAAGGTGCCATCCTGTCCTTGAAGCTCAGTGACGGGCATCATTATCACCTGACTTCATGCACATTGTTGTGGCTGCCAGCTATTCAAGTTTTGTGTCACTTTATGAAGAACAAACTCAGCGACTCCCAGCTCAGCTTTGTTCACACAGAACCCTAACACGCTTTATTAGAGACGCACGAAGAAAAGCGTGGATGGTGCGGAAGCAGGCGAGCTCCAGTCTCCTTCCCTAGCCGCTTTATCCAGCACCATTGTGGTCTGGAGACCTTAGTGGTCAGGAAGGCCTCTCTTCCTCCAGGGGGACAGAAACAGTCAAGTAATATCCTATTGAGTTCATTTTGAGGGACCGCTTACCTTCTGTGACAGTACTGTTAAGTATTAAAGTTTTTGTTTCAGTACTTCCTCTGCTTCTGATTCTTTACTGTTTTGAGTTTCACAGTGACTTTCCTCCCACCTGCCCTGTGCTTTCTGCTCACCTGGGGCTCCGCTGAGCGTGGCCTCTGTTAGATCTGGACCCCATCCGTCTGGTGTAGAGCCAGCGTGCAGCAGCTCTGACCTCAGGTTTTAGTATCTGATGGACAGATTTCACAGCAGCTGAGTGTGGGGGCTGCTGCCTGCCTGCTTGTGAGAAGTGCGGGGCTGACAGAGCCCAGACCTCCCACATGGACATCTGTGACGACAGTCCACACAGGGACTGTCAGACATGTTCATAAGTTCCCTGAGGCCCACGGAGGGCTGGCCCCACAGTACTGCACTGAGGCAGTGGCTCAGGGACTGTAGCTGGAGGCTGTCTCAGCCCCTCCTTCAAAGGGCTTGGTGGTGTCTCCATGTCGGTATGTACACTCCAGGCCTAGTGATGGGCGTGGCTCTTCAGAACAACTGCCCCTTGTGGGATCAGAAGTGTGGACAGATAACTGCGATGGTGCTGGGCCCAAGTCCATAGGTGCAGTGGACAGGTACAGGCCTGTGCCAATAACATGGCCGTGTAAACGTTCCTAGGTGACTCAAGCTATTTGTAATGGGTGACACTGTAGGATAAGCACTGGACCGCAAAATCAGTTTCAACTGCCAGGTTAGTAGGTCACTAGGCCACTCCTCAGAAACCCTATGTTGTTATGCCATTGCGTTAGTTCTGACTCAGTGACTCTGAATAAGGTTTCTGAGGAGAGCTGGTGAGCGTGAACTGCCAACTTTGCGGTTCAGACTGACCTGGTAATCTAGCACGTTAACCCAGGATTCCTGGAAACTACAGGATCAATTCGAGTTGGAATCAAGTGGAAAACACTTAACTACACTGACTTGAAGGTTGGTGGTTTGAATTCACACAGGAACACCACAGAAGAAAGCCCTGGTGACCTTCTGTAGAGATGAGAGCCACATGGCGTCTGTGAATCAAAATCCACTGTAGTCAGACTCATTAATAGCCTGTGATTTGCAGATCACACAATCTTGCTTGTTCAAAGTGAAGAGGACTAAGGCATACTTGATGAAGATCAAAGACCACAGCCTTCAGAATGGATTACAAATGTAAGGGAAGCAAAATTCCTCACCCTTGGACCAATAAGCAACATGGTAAATGGAAATAAACATTTGCT